CGCTTTGTATTTTTCCAATTCAAATGATTGGCGATGCTGTCAAATAAATGGTAAAGCATATAGCGTTCACTTACACTATGTACAAATACAGTTTGGTTGCTGTGGCAAAGAAAACTGAATGATTCAACATGCTAACAGAAAATACTCAGCTCTGAGGCAAAAGACTTTGTGGGAAGGAGGGGCTGGCTGTGAAACTAGTCGTATTTAGTCTACAACATTAGCTGGCTAATTCTCTTAGTCCCCTTTTACAGTCAGTGGAAAGGGATAGCACTTTCCAAAGGGCAGAAAGCTAGCTAAAGGGCTCCCAGTTCCTTTCCTGTTTCTCTCCACTGAGCAGGGAGGAGGACAAAGCTGGCTGCTGCAACTGTTCTTTTGGAGAGGGAAACGTTTTCAGCTGTCTGAAATTCAGAGATGCCAAATGCTCCCAGCTGTTGTGGACATCACTTGGAGCTGGAGATGATCAGGCTTTGAGGTGCCTAACTTGTATGTTGGGCCCTTGGCATGTTGTATTTGAAAGAGTTGCTTTTTGCTCATGTGATGGTTCTTACTTGACCTGACATACGTACCCTAAATGTGCTCTTGCTGGGTTTTGTTGTTTTTTCCCAAGACACAATGAAGTGCTGAAGTATTCGGTAGTTTAGGGCATGGTGGCTTGGCACACTGAGGTAAACTGCCCTTACAAACATTTAAAAAGGCAGCAGTGAGAATCCTGCTCATCTTTGTATCATTTTATTTTGAAACACATGTAGTGGTCTTGAATTCGAGTTGTAATTTGCAGTGAGAGACTGAAAAAAACCTATAACAACTTTCATGGTCTGTGTCCTGGACTTGGTATTTGGCTTTTTTGGACTGCAGGAAGCTGGGGTTACCTTGAAAGTGAATGTGAGCTCAGGCTGAGCAAATGCAGTGGAAGAATTCTTGCCAGGCTTCAGAACATCTTTGAGGTCTCTGCTCGCCTCCTGGCAGGGCTGCACAGAAGCCATGTTACTCAGAGCTTCACTGGAGCCAGCTGAAAGCAGGTCCCATAACTTTTTTTTTCAGTTACACTTCTATTACGTGCTTATTAAAGGTATACTAGGTGAGAGTAAAATCTGAGAACTGTAGAAGAACTTTGGGAATGTGCTAGAAACCATGTTTGTATTTCGCTAGAAGCTTCCCCATCTCATTGGTTTTTGTTTAAATGCTGATCCTGGTTCCCTGTATAGTTTTTTTCAACAGATTTGTATTTTCAGTAAAGAATGTGGATTTTCTTTGGATTATTTTTGTAACATAGATGGATAGCAATGCCACAGCACGCAGAAATTGCACATTTTGCTTGAGTTGCTTTGTAAAATACACTATTTTATTTGAGAAGTGTAATTTATGCCAAAAAGTGTAACATGCCATTTTGCCACTCAGTAGGGTGTTTTAGCACAAGATGCAGTGTCTAAGGGGGGAAAAGGCAGACATTTTGTAGATTTAATTGAAAAAAATGTTCCAACACTGGGCTGTCAGCATACCTAAAACTGCATTACAAGAGATTATCTAAATTGACATTCTGAGGAGGGAAGGGATCAAGGAAAATCTCAAGACTTACTCTCCCTGTCCAGTGTGGTCTTTTCTTATTTAGTAATACGCTGCTACATATTTGGAGGTTCTAGTGTTTGTAGGTCACTGAACAGACATTGAAATCTGATTTATATTGTATACCTGTAACATAGAAAGAAAAAGTATTTATATATTTTCCGTAAGAATATTGCATTGAGCTGTGTATAATTTAAACAGAGGCTTGTCCCAAAATGCTATTGCCCACCTTGATTTTTTTTTTGTGGTTTTATGTTTTTTTTTCTTCTTTTGTATAGTGTGTACAGTTCATGTCAATGGGCATTAAAAGCCTCCTGAAGCGTAATCTTATCAAAGGGATGCATTGTTAATAAAATGTACTTAAACTTCTTGCAGTTGTTCTGGTCTCTTACATACCTCTCAGCCCTGGAAATGGGTTGGAATTTTATTTATATTTGTAAGTTACTAATTAACTAGAGCAACCTGAAGCTTTCCAAAAAATGTATTTTTGACAAAAATATATTTTACATTAATGCTTTGTAAGATGTCTTGTAGAAGGGGACTCTTTAATAGTTTGTACACCATTTTTATTTTAAAAATTAGCATACTGATACTGAGTATTAATAATTTTCCATTATGTGATGGTTTAAGTATTAGCATTTCAACAACAGCTGTGAAAGTTGAATTATCAACAAAAAAAAAAGACAGAAGTTTACAGGTTTTAACTCATTCAACCATTAGTGCAAGACATGCCTTAAATACAAAAATTACACATGCCTCCCCACCCACACAAAAATACTTTTTGAATCTTTAGTTCTAGTGCCCAGACTGTACCTTTTGACTGGCACGAAGTCATCCTCCTTGGAATCCTCTGTTTGGGTGCTTTTAAGCAGAGGTGGTTTCATGAAAGGCCACCCGCTGGGGCCAGCAAGCAGGAACGTTTGTAGGTAGAGAGGAGCTAACTTCTTACCACCTCACCAAGCAATCTGGTACCCAGTAAAGCATCTCCTTGCTTCCAGATAATTTAAGTTTCATCAGTCCAGGATCTCCCCCAGGAGAGACCAGGGAAGGTCCACTGGCCCAGGTGTCTCCCCCACCATCAGGAAGGCACAGCTGGCTACGTCCTGCCCTGCACGCACACCCCTCTGCTCGCTCCCGGGGCTGAATCACTCCAGCCAAGCCCCAGCAACAGCAGCTTTTCCAAAAGTAGGAATTTGCGCTTTGTTACAGCTCTCCTCTGGCATGAGGAACTGCAGCATGTTGAAATTTAAAATGTTTTGTGGGAGAGTCTGCCTTTTTTGACTGACTTCTGTATCAGAATTCTTTAGATGTGTAACTCTTGATTTAGGATACCTTTCAAACCTTTTTAAATAAACAGGCATTTTTTTGAAATGCACAGCTAGGAAGTTTTATTTTGGTAGTAGCAAAACAGCTGTTTTCTGTTTATTGGCCTTTTTTCCAGCAATACAGCTTTTAAACTACACAAGTACCATATGATGTGATGAGACACTCTGGAGAAGGAAATGTTCCAAGTTGTAAAGATACTGTGCTATCAAACTTTCAAATTCACTGTAACTCAAAGGAGAGTAATGTAAAGGCAGGAAAAGTTTCTCTGGGCTGTCTCCATCGAACAGCATCAGCCTCCTCTCTTGCTTCCCTTTCTCTGTCCGAACTGCAGTTCAGCTAAAGGTGACCAGCCATGTTTCCTTACCCCACCATCTGATGGCCAAAATGAAGGACCATAGTGCTTTTTTTTTTTTTTTAAAAAAAGCTGTGCAACCTACATGTGGACACAGCACAGTGTGCGTTGACTCTAACCACAATTAGCCATCTGTGAGTGTGTACCTTTGTACCTCACCTTTGCCTGCCTGAAGATTTCTCCCTCTGGCAGTCTCAGCTAAAGTCTGTGTCAGGTCTTGTTGGTTACCCTGGTGCAACACAGCTCATGGACATTACAACAATATAAAACCTAGATGTGATTCAGTATCAAAACTCATTTCTGTCTGCAGCTGCTTAGATTTTAGGAAGTGTGATTACCTAGTTAAACATAGGGAAGACTAGTAACTGCATTTTAACAAATTAGCTGAAGATCAAATTGTAAAAACATTTCATTTTTCCTTTCTGTGCTCTTAAGTTGAATTTTTTTATTTGTGAAAGATTCCAGACAGCATCATAATTAGGAAAAACCAAAGGGTTCCTTGTGCACTACGGAGGTCAATCTGATGAGACTTTCAGATACAATTCCAGCTACTCTTCTTCATTATAAATGTACAATTTCTAAAATCAAAATGGAAGACCAAATTCACCGCTGCCTGTAGGGATTCTGAGCATTATAATATTTTTTTTTTTTAAATACATGCAAAAGTAGTGTTGGAAGATCTAGCTGTGATATGCAACCTGAATACGATGTTCTTCGCAAAATGGGATTCATACACCTATGCATCTGACTACCATGTTTGCTTACCTGGTTGGCTGCGGCTTGCTACCTAAGTGCAGGGGTTAATGCCAAAAGACATTCAGTTTGTGTGCACAAGCAGAGAGACAGTGCCATGTAACACCTCTGCAAACATGTGTGTCCTGCTGGAAAAACAGTTCCCTTCCACTTAACTCTACACATTTCTTTGTTTAGTTAAGAGGATTTTGGTTAAGACTTTAAAAGGTAGGCATATCTTCCAGGCAGAGAAGGCAGAAGTGAGGCACCCCAGTGACCAGAAATGGGAGTGGCAGCCCACTAACAGGGGCCTGTACTATAAAAATCTGTTTTCTGTACTCTTTTGCCCACCAAGTGTAGTTAGAAGACAGGTAAACTAAAAGCAAGATGATCATTGGCTTTTGGTGCACAGGGTAGCACTCCTTCAGTTCCTTCTAATCTTTCAGTAATGCACCACACTGAATGCAGGTAATCCTACCATGCTGATTCCTTGCACCATCTGAGAGAGAGAAAAATACAACCCCCTCCCCCCCACCGTGTTACTGGGCTGAGGCAGACTCCAAAGCCGGGTAACGCACAGCTGCTCAATACACACTGCCTGGGGTGGCCAGAGCACGTAGTAAGCACACACAGAATACTGCAGGTGAAATACACTCCTTGAGCACAACCACCTACCCGCTTGTTTTAACTTGCTCGTCTACTTTCTGAATAAATTTTTAATACAGTAGTTCTTTGCATCAGGCTATGAGGAACTGCTGTGATCTAAACTTCTACATAACACAGGCCACAAAACAGCCTGTAAATCTTATATAATGCCTGTAACTTGTGATGAAACCATACCAAGCATCATTCCTGTGCACAAGTCAGTATTTTTAAACTAGTGCTGAAAGAAGAGCTTTGCAGCATTAACAGAAGTAAGACAGTTGGGCTTGTGAAAGCCTTCATCAAAAGGCGAAGTTGTGGGTTTAGAAATTCTTACTTATATTGTGTAACCAAACACTGGATGGACTCAATGGAGAAGAGCACATCAAAGCCTCCTCCCTAGGCAGTGCACATCTGTTTGTGAAACATATCTCAGACCAGTCTTTCTGCCAGCTGTTTCTTTCAGTGTTGAGGCAGCATTTTGATTAAAAATATCAAAGTAGTAATGTGGCTGGTACAGCACTATTGACAGTTCTGGCTTGCTTGCTTCTATTGTCTCTGGTGTTTGATAGCGGTCAGATTCAACTGCAAGATGAGAAGAATAAGCAAAATTTTCAAACCAAGTATGAGTCTGAGGTGTAGGTGTGGGTGTAATGTCTCTCTCTTCATTTTCTTTAGGGTAAATCCAGGAAGAATTCTGGCTGTCAATCTTATCTTCTGTTGGCATGGAAGACAACTGGCTCCATGGATGTAACTTCTGGGCTTCGGCCTTACTGTCCACTGCTAGCATGTCAGGAATGCAGTCACTGATTTTCAGTACTTTCTCAGAACTGATCTACAAGAGAGTCACAAACCAAAAAATTTGCTCAATGAAAGAAGCCAGAGTAAAGGAAAGGGAGTGATTACTTCAAGCACTTCTAATAGTATAATTTTTTTAGTTTGGATTTTCAATTAAGTGAACAGAATTTCAAGGAAAACATATGTATACAGTGTTCAATAGAAGCTGTATTTTATGTGGAATTTATCAGAGTATTTATTTAAAGATTTCTTTTTTAAGTTCAATATGACTACATTTGAAGAAGGAACCATGTCCCTCTACTTTCAAGACTTTGCCAGGTTTCTGATGCGTGCAGTTTTTAGTGTGAACCACCAGCACCTGGAAGGCAGCAGCACGGGCGGTTAGGTTGCACAGACTCTTCTCCCTGGTGCTAGTGTTCAGTGAACACTGGCAGCAGAAACGGCAGCAGCTCCGCGTGCGCCAGGGTAAAGACCTGCTCCTGGTTTTGAGACCCCCTTGCACCCAGCATGGAAGCAGCAGCTCCCGGTTCGAAGGGCCTACAGAAGTTGTTGAAGGCCTTTGGCCCATCCTTTCCTCCCAGCCAGACCTGGCAGAACCCCCTGCATCCTCCCAAGGGCCCACAAGTGCTTCACTGCTGTGCCCTACAGCAGAGGGAGGGGTGGGGCAGGAGGAGTGGGCAGCGAGGGTGCACAAGCTGCAGCGAAGTGCGCGGTCTGCTCTGCTGTGTTCAGACAGTGCTGGGTTTTGAACAGCAAGACTGGAAGAATCACCTGCTGTCTCAAAAGGTTTAATTTATTCTCCAGTATGCTTTCACTTTTTGCAGGAATAGACTGCAGAATATAAACTCATCACTGCAGAGTCACATGAATATCAAAAGGACAGTTTTCCACTAAATGATGATAGTAAATTATGTTAATTTCTGTAAAATAAGTGTCACTCATTTTTAAATGTAGTCAACACAAGAAAAATATTTTTCTGAAACTTTACTAATCAAAGAATGGAAAAATTAAAAATACTAACTTTTCAGTGATCTTACCTTAAACTCTTTAAATGACAGCACTTTGCTCTTGTTAGGACTAGGTATTAGAGGACAGCAGCACTCTTTCACCCTGTAAATAAGATAGCAAAACAAATGACCTTTTTTTTCCCCTCATCAAAGCATATTCTACCAGCAGAAGCCACACGTAGATGGGTACAGAAACAGCAGCAGATGATGAGCGTCTCAGAAATGCTGCAAGCCAAATACAATATCCACACAGTTGGGCAGCCAAAGGAAAAAATTAATGAGGCCTTACAACAGGCTGGAAGCAACAAGCTGCAGCTGTGGTTTGTGAATTATGGTAGTTATGTTCTCTCTCTACAACAGAAAAATACATTATAACTTACCACTTGATCTTCCAGCGGCATATAGTTGCTACTAGTGCTGGAACTATCACTAGCAGGACTAGAAGGTACAGCATGTTTGCTGTGAAAGAAAAATACTTTAAAAATTTGTTTTCAACTTCTCACCTGTTAAAGTCAATATAGGCTGAGTTTCTGGGACAAAAACAGCATCAAGCCCACATGGGATACCTGCCACTAACTCAACAGTAAAACTGCATGGTCCATGGTTGCAAGCTAGTTTGGCTGGAAGTTCTGGGATACTAAGTCTTTGGACCTTGATTTCCTTTACCAAAATTGCATTATTACTAGGTTGCTTTTAATTTGCCCTCATGCTGGCATCTTAACTATAAGGCTAAATTTCCAAAAGTTAAGACAATTATAACATCACTTAACTATTTGTTTTAGGTTTTCTCTCAGATCCCCAAAGATGACAGATTTTTACCAGGAGATATTGCCAGAACCTCTGCACCTCTGGTATGGATGGATCATTTGTACAGCCATGACAGACACTACACAAGTGTTCATGTTCTCCTAGGATTTATGCTGACACAAGAATCTCAGTATTTCCTTCTAGTTGGGAGACACAGCCTTGGGCTATGTTTTTCATGAACACTTGAGGCTATAATAAGCAGGCTGAGGGGGAGCACTAGTTCGCTCTCCCTCTGCCCTGGCCAGTGCCCTCTTGCTCTGCGCCAGCGGTTTGTGTGTCCCTATTACACACCACACCAGGGAATGGACAGGTTTTACATTCTTCTTTTATCTTTTCTGGGTTAATTAAGCCCCCATTTTGATTCCCTGCATGGCTGTACAAATGTCTGTGCCTGCAAAAGAGAAGGCTGGCTAATCAGAGCTGGAACATGGGTGTAAGAGGCAGAACTGCCTCTGTGAGGGTACCATGAGGGTTTAGAAACTGTTCTCCTAGTTAGCCTAAAACATGAAGGCTCCTTGCATGAGCCAATGCTTCACCCTTTCCTACCCCTTCACCTCCACCCCCAACAAATTTTTCAATACCAGGCATCTGCAATTTGGATCATAAGTTTAAAACCACAACTGGTGAGTGGTATTTTCAAGGGAACAGAACTACAGGCAAGTGATTTCCTGTTCTGCTTTGATGATCAAATCTGCCCACCTAGGAAACACCAATGCTCAACCCAACAATCCCTTCTTATTGACTTATGAAGGAGTTAACTTGGCAATGGATTTAAAGACTGATGAGAATAAGAATCAACATTAGAAGTTCAAGAGTCCAAACAGAAATTGCCTGTTTGCACACAGGTCTGTAGCTTTTCCTGTATTAGAAAACTAGTTAAATCCAAATGCAATTCCTCAATGCATCCTAGCAAACAGGACTCACTAGTCATGCAAATATGCATTTATTAAGCTATTTCCCAGAAAGATGTAAGACTTAAATAAGGGTGTAAAGTTATTTTCATTCTAAAATAAAAAATACATAGCTACTTAACAGTATCAAAATGCCATGTTGGTATGCACATTTCGTTTCTCAGTTGGATCCTTTCTCAAGTGCATGTTACATTGAATTAAATGTTCTCCCTTGAGAAAGGAAGACTATTCTAAACGTTTAAATCATCCTATCCTTCTGCTAGAAGACAAATTTTCCACGGCCAATACTCACAGTTCAATGGTGTATCTATGTATATAAAGTTAACAATGGGAGTCTCTCCTCCACCTGTATATGCTTTAACCACTAGTTTGTATTTTGTGTTTGACAATAGGTGTTTCACGGTGTATCTCTTTTCTTCTGGGTTTTCAATTGTGTATTTACATAGCACCGAATCATCTGAAATGAAACAGATAAGACAGAATCACAGAATTAGAGAATCACAGAATTGTTTGGGTTGGAAGAGACCTTTACAGATCATCTAGTTCCAACCTCTCTGCCATGGACAGGGGCACCTTTCACTAGACAAGGTTGCTCAAAGCCCCATGCAACCTGACCTTGAACACTTCCAGGGACAGGGCATCCACAACTTCTCTGGGCAACCTCTTCCAGTGTCCCACCACTCTGAAAGTAAAAAATTTCTTCCTTATGTCTAATCTAAATCTGCCCTCTTTTAGTTTAAAATGGTTACCCCTTGTCCTATCAGTACAGGCACTGGTAAAAAGTCTCTCTCCATCTATTCTTATAAGCTCCCTTTAAGTATTGAAAGGTTGCAATAAGGTCTCCTGAAAATCTAACAAATCAGCTTAGATGAGACTGCTACACCACTGAAATAACAGAACATTTGCAATCCACTTTCTTCTGAGAAGGATGATGCATTGTGACTCATTGCCACTGGGCTGAATTCACATCCCTTCTAACGGACTGTCCACAGCATTGCCCATCCTCTGGCAGACCACCTAATAACTTGCCGTCAAAAGCTGCAAGTGTTCATTTTAATTTCCTTTTACTAGAGCTTTTTACCAGAATGATTTGGGTTTTGGCATTTCCTTTTTTGCCGGAATCCTGTAGCCCTCAGGCTTAGGTCAAGTTCTTTGAAGAGAATCGAAAGCAAGAATGTCTGCCGGAAAAAAACTCTTTGCCTCTCTATTGTGCAACTCCAGACCGCAGGGAGAAAAGGGTTAGCTTAATCCTCCTGTTCCCAGTCCCACCCCTTGTCTGCTAGCTCAGACAAACTGGGAAGCAGGAAAACTTCAATTTAAACATTCTGAAGTCTAATTGGGATTACTTGCAGTATTATGATGCTTCTATGGTTAGTTTAGTTCTGACAGGAACTCCCACATAAGCCTCCTTCAGTTCAAACTAAGCCTTTCAACCTGCTACTCATCTGATCAGCAGAACGGCTGGATACAGGACATTACCCAACTAGAAGAAGAGGCAAGGAAAAAAAAAAAATATCCTTGAACATGTTGGAAACATCTCAAAATTATAATGGAGCAAAGTCATCTGGAGCAGTTTTGAGTGTGGAGCACGAAGATGAGATATAAAAGTTTAAACATGGCTTTGTGCCACCCCACAGCTCAGTTCTGCTGAAGAAACTTCACTGTGGAGCACAGCCACAAATACTTTCACTATAAAAGAATTTAAATGGGGAATTTACACAGTGCTCCAATTCTGAAGGAAATAAATTGTATCCCATCTGTTTCTAAAATACCCCAAATCCTTGTAAAACTAACGTGCTTCCTATGACTCTCATCCAAGTAGACCACAAACAGATGTTTTCAAAATTCATCCAGAACTCAGATCACAAGAGGCAGAAACTTGATTCCTCCTACAGTACTGCAAGAATCTTTTCTGGAGCTCACACTGGAGTTAAAAGGAGCTATGGACAACAGGATGAGGGCTATAAATCTGTATAAAGCCAGGACCCACTTCTGCCCATTAGCACCTCAAGCATTAGAGAGGAATCAAAAGCAACAGGTGTTGAAATCTATATATTGCCTAAAGAGACAATTTGCCTGCCTAATGTGAACTTTCTAAGAGGCTGCAGTATCAGCAATAGCCATAAAGTCTTCCACCTATATCAACAACACAGATTCCTAAATCCCAGAGGTCAGTTACCTGGAAGAACATGTTTTTCGGATCCTTTCAAACTGCAGTCTTCTTGTACAGGTGACACATAAACATGGTAGCCTCTTACAAAACCAGACTGTGACTCATTTGTGCAGTAAGAATCCCAAGATAGTGTTACTGCGTTGAAAGTCAGTTCAACTTTTTCCACAACAGGATCAAGCAGAGGAGCTGGAAGAAAGGAAATTCAAGTTAAACTTGCCATTATTCTTCAAGAACGTTCACCTCTTCACTTGAAAAATGTCTAAATTCCCATGTGGTGTTTCTATCTTACTTGTATTTAAAAGCTGAACAAAGCCAAAGTGCTCCACAAAAACTGTCAACTTTACCGAGCCTTCATGCAGTCCGTATTATACACAAAACAGTGACTGCTAATCACAGGTTTGTTTAGCTATTCTAATTAACAAGGACTCTACCTGGTCACTGCATTAGTCAAATGTCCTCGATGTAGGGCTGAGTGTGTTGTTGTACAACTTTTAAATGCTTCACTGATAATACAGAAACAACATGGCAAATACCTTTTTAGCTAGTTGCAGGAGGAAGGCTGTGGCATTCTTCTGTTTGTGACAGATGAATTTAGCAAATACACAACCCCTAAATATGCTGTCAACTTACGTAGCTCCCTGAGATAACCAGTCTTCTTCTCCAGTAAGGAGGCTATATTAGCAACAGATCCATATATGTGGAAGTTGTATCTCACCCCCGGAACAAACGCAGCTAGAAAATAGAGGAACTGATTACAAAAATAGGTTATGGTTTCTCTTTTGGTTTTACTTTTAATTAACTGCTTTCTACAGAGGTCTATAATCCATTAGAAATCATCTTTGTGTGCTATTGTGCTATTAAAGCAACTGAAGGAGACAGAGTAAACCAAGTCTTAGTGTGTATAATTTGAATTGAACACACTTATTCTGTCTGAAGGAGAGAATGGGGGGGGGGGGTTAATATATTTTTGTTGCCCTAGAGTATTCAAGATTGAGTGCACAACAGACTCCAAATGCATCAAAGAGCGAGATAATTTCATTTCCATTCCTGGCACAGGCAAAGGTCGTGTTTTGGACTGTTTAATGTGGACATATGCATCAGGATTCCATGTTATCCTCACGGACAACCACTCCCATTTGGATTAACCAAATGCAACCCACTAAAGAACCGGACATTTTTTCCATGTGTTACCACACTCTCCTTCAGTAAGGACGCAGGCTCCCATGTGTTTGTATGAATTGAAGTGTGGTTCCTTTCTTGCATATTGAAATGCATTCAGTCAAATTTTGTTGAAACATGTTTCATTCCAAAGTGAACTGTCAGCTCAAGAGACTCCAGGAAGGCTATATTCTTGCAGCTGTGGAAGTATATCAGAGCAACTTTCACACAGCCAGAAAGGATTTAAGTCTAATGGCCACCACTGGGATAAAAAACACACAACTGCTCCTAAGCAAAGACTGGTGCTGAGACACATTGTTTGTGGCACACTGACAGCACTAAACTTCTAGCTGCACCGTGGACGTTAAATTGCTCAAGTCTAAACTTCTGACCCATGTTACAGTTATGGCAGAGCTCCATTTTGCATCTCTTTTGCTAAAAGATTTTTAACTCCTTCATTAACCTCACCATCGTCCTTCAAGATGTTACTACAAGCTACTCAGGAGAGGTTTTTTTCTATAATACTGTGCTGACTTTTCTAAAATGCTATGCTGACTTCCAAGGCTTAATGGTGCTGGCATATTTGTGGTGTCTAATTCATTTGCTAGGCAAAACATGAGGCCACATGCCTTTGAAGAATTACACCTACACTGCACAGACTTCAATATTCCACAGGATTTGGTTCCTAAATTCAATTAATGCCCACAGCATGAAAGATTGCTGCACAGATATCAGAAAGAAAAATTGTTCGGCTTTCACCTGAGTTGATCAGAGCACTGGAAATGTTGGGCCCAAATCTCTTCCACTGCAAATCACAAGGCTGCAACATTGGAAAGTTACACCAATCGATAATGTAACCATCATAGATATGTCTGGGCTCCCAGGAAATAAAAATGCCATCATCTGTACCATTAACCTGTTCTTCTTTAAGCTCTTCAGTGCCTAGGAATGAAAAAACAGAGTCTCTTACTATTTTCCTGCATGAGATTTCAGATTCATAAATGAAGATCAATATAGTTTCTATTCTAAGCTGTTAAAACAATAATAAAATAGTCGTGTTCCTTCACTATCAGGCATATGGGATCTTTCACATGCTGAAAGCTGATTTCTTTGTATGCTGAAAGCTGACAGCTCAAAAAACATCCAGTGATTATTACTATATAGTCATAACAAGAACTCAACTGCAGAAACCTGGCGTCATAAACAGAACGTCACAAGAGGCTAATCACACACAAGAGTTCCCTGCAAGGCACTGGCTGCACCTTCACGGCACCTGCCACAGGCCTGAGGCCCTAGTTTAAGGCTAAATGTGTTTTGCTCTGTGGAGACTGCCTGTACAAAACAGACTTCCTGTTGTAAGGGATGGATCAAGGCACTTCAGCTTAATATACATACAGTTACCACCCTGTAGGCAACAATCCATTAATAATTTCCAGATAGCAGTGATGTAAGTTAACACATCACACAGTGATGTGAGGCCAGGTTAATTTGTTCCCCCCAAATGATAAATTATCAGTGTGCTTAAAATAGGTAGAAACAAAACTCTCATAATGGCAATCTAACTGCAAATACTCCTACTGTTACCTGTAGCTCTAGGGATGATCAATACTGAAGGAAGTGAATAATTAACATTGTTCTTTGCCATGATACTGATTCTATAGGAATGGTTATCAATGGAAATCCTTGTGCTATTGCAGACTGATGAAAAGGAGATGCTTTCAGGCTTAGAGCCATCTTCTACTTTTTCCCAGGTTACTTCATATGAAATGCTTCTTCCATTTGCTCGAAAACTTGGTGCTTGCTAGGGAAAAAGTTATGGGGGTAGACACCAATTACTTATTAAATTTTGCTGAAAAAGTAGGAGAGGAACATTTAGAATTTTAAACAACTAATTGGATGTATTATTCCTGTAAAAACAGAAACACTTGTTTCCATACATGCATACATATACTGGTTGAAACAGAAATGCAGAAATCTCAGTAATGGGATTTGTCTTGTTATAATACTTAGAAAAACAGAAGTATATGGCTGAAATGCCAGGACAGCACAGCATCATACAGCTACATATGTTCTGAAATATGTTATATATAATATTTGTCTTAGATTCTTAAAGACATTTTCATACTGAATTGCTATGAAGTGCACACAAACTTGTTTACAAGTTCATGGGAGGATTTTCCAACCCCTTTATGAAGGGTTTTGTTTCCATTTCTGTACCGATGTCTCACCTTCCAGAACAAGGTCACATTCCGCCCTCCCAGAACTGGTGTAATTTCTTTCCAGATGTCCAGTTTCCCTGATGGAGCTGCAATAAATACAGCAAAACAAAAATGCTCTACGTGCAGAAAGGATAAACTGTTTAATTGCTTCCTCCCATTTGAAGGAATTCCAGTCCCAAAACCCTTTTTTCCCCATCACTCCCAGGTCTTGTCAAAACATTATCCTTTAACGTCTTTCTCCATTCATTTTTTTTTCTGAATGAATGCCTGGTTCATTTCTCTAGAAAATCTTGTCTTTGCTTGCAGTTCCCAGTTGCACTGTTCCTTCAGCCCTCCCAGAACACTGTAACTCAGTCTGTCCGTCCTCCCAGTCATCTGGATTTCCCACTGGAAATGGGTGAAATGGCAGAGACTAGCAGGTAGGATGAGAGTTGTTTAAGAAGCCACCTTCTTAAAGTTTGTTTAGTGTGCTTCTACTTTTATGTGTGCAACAGGCCCAAACAGAGGTGGCAAGCGAAGAACATCCTTCAAGCTTCCCTTCTCAACAGGCTGGACATACTTGCTTCCTTTGTTCTGATGGTTCGGGCTTCGCTCCATTCACTCCACCTCCAGAAATGCTTAGCTGCTCCACAGTGTACTCTAGCTGTGTATTCAGTGTATGGCTGCAGTCCACCCAGGGTGATGCTGGCATAATGCAGATGTCTGTCTGAACTATTATGCTGCAAGACGGAAAAACAGAACAATGAGAGCTCAGTTCAGCTTCATTAGCAAGAGGTTTTTGTCTGAAAATACAGTTCTTCCCCTATATCCAACAATAGCCAGTTAAGCATGACTCAGAAAACATAATAATGGAAAATAGTAAAGGAAAAAAAGATATGCACAAGATCAAAAGACTGGGAGATCCAAAAAGAGGTCTGCAAGCCGTCTCTGTGTAACTGTCTGAGTAGGAGTCACTCACAACCTGTCAAATGACTCCTCTTTACATCAAGGAGGGAATTTACTGAGACCTCATCCTCACAGAATCTGGGTCTCTTACTCAGTTCATGTACAGCAGCTACAGCTACCTTTTCTTTCCATTTTTTCCCCCAACCTTTTCCCCCATTCCCTCCTAAGAGACAGGGTGAGTTCTGTTAAGAGTCAAAAAGTGAGCACACTTTTAAGCCTCTCCTCTAAACTGTCTCCTGCAATGGTCAACTGCAGCAGCCATGTGATCCAACAGCTCTTGAGCAATACTTAAGACAGAACACAGCTTGATCCCAATCTTCATAATGCCTTTTTAATATGCTAGAGGCAAGGTGCCTTCACAAGAAGAGGGCTACAGAGAAACCAGAGTATGCATGCAAAGAGTCAGTCAGCCTCACCATTTGTGAAAGAGGTGGAACAAGACAAAGAGTCTACATCTTCAAGGAGATGGAAGAGGATGGGAAGAAAAACTGTTCTAGGGTTCCCTCACTAGAAACACTACCATCAAGTACAGTCAATAGTACACAGAAAGCTCCTGGATTAATATAAAAAAAGCCTTCAACACACCTCTCCACCATTTGTATGTAAGATGATATGGGTAATAAAAACATGACAAACCAAGATTAGCAATAGCTAACAGCAATTATAAGGCCCATAAGTATTTTAATTTCCTTCAACAAATCTCAGAACCCATCCAGCAGAGGACAGAGCCACATATGCAGACCAGTCACACTGTACACTTCAGCCAGCATCATAGGAACTGTTGGGAGTATGAATTAGTGCCAGCAATGGCTGCCCACATGGATCTCATCAGTGTACAGCTTGGGAGCAAAAAAATCCAGAAAACAGACACATCAACATGTTCACAAGATTTAGAGTGTATTTATATTGGTGGGGAATTATTTTTTAATTTCACATCAAAAAGATACTCGCTATGTTTTTGTGTATGAAATTCAGGTTTCATACCAGTTCTACTTTCCCATCAGGTTGGAGCACTTCAGTCTGACAAAACAGTTCAATTCCTTTGTTTGGATGTTTCCAATATAATGTGATTTCTGTATCTGTACATTCTTCCCACAGCTGGAAAGGTGCAGCGGGATAAACTGCCAATGGAAAATCTGGGTTAGCTCTTGTAAAATATAAAATACATGCAAAAGTATTTTAAGGTATTTTAGCTGAGTAGTAAAAGCAAGTAAGAAATACAGATTTTTTTCTGCCAGTCTAGGAGAATCATAGAATCCTAGAATGGTTTGGGTTGGAAGGGACCTTAAAGATCATCTAGTTCCAACCCCCCTGCCAAGGGACATCTCCCACTAGAGCAGGTTGCTCAAAGCCCCATCTCACCTGGCCTTGAAGCAGATATAAATCAGAAAAATTAATTTCAGAATGTAAATGTAAGTAAATGTTATACAAGATTTAAAGAGCCCCTTGTGCTGACTTGGACATATTTTAGAACATCACAAACAAAAAAAGTCAGAGACTTTTATGGCAAATCCCATAAAATTTTCTAATCCAGGGCCTGGAAAAGGCTCCTGATGTAGCATGGTGAGTACTGTTTGCCACATTTCTACACTGCAGAATCCACCCTTTTCACCAGAAATTTTATTTACAACTCATACATTGACTCCTGCCAGTAGTTACCCTCTAGTAAACACTGACAATGTAACTTCTTCCAAAAGATTTCTGAGATCCTTCACTGCTATGTTAAGCAGTATTCTGTGAGAGCAGCAGATCTCAAACTCTCCCAAATTATCAGTCCAATTGTAAGGAAGAAGACATGGCAATGCGAGTGAGTAGTATGTTTACAGCTTTGGCCATTATCCTAGAACTTCATGGACCATGAATTACAATTGGAGGATTTCCAGACTCAGAGGCACTTGTGTTTGATACAGAAGGTCCCAGCTACCACATGCAGAATTGGAAATGATGGATTTCAGTTTTGCTTTACTTGCTGACATCCTTTAAGTAAGGCAAATTCTACTGTAAATATGTCCAGGATCAGAGAAAACATAAAGGACTTCAGAGCAATCACTATTTGAAAGGTTAACTCATCATAAATACTATACATAATTTCTTTAACTTGTCACACTCACTAGAACTGGAAAAAGAAAATTGTAGTAAAACTTTAATGTACTTAGCACATTGAACGTAACCTATTTTAGCCTGATTGCCCATGAAAACTTAGTTTATAATACTGTGTTGTCTCACTACAACCTGATAGTTTACTCCTCCACTTTCTCCCTGCTCTACTTCTTCCACCCCCAAACAATCAAATAATCAACTTTTTTAACTCTCATGCCTCTCTGAGACAAATTTAACAGAGACAGGCATTTAACATATGTTCCTACAAGTCGTATGAAAAAGCGTGTCTAGAAAAACTGTAATCAGTGCCTCTGAGGAAGGAAGTGCTGCCAGAATGCAGCAATTACACCAGCAACCTCTCGACCATCAGCCTGTCAGCTTCAGAAGTAAGCAAAGCGCATGTTGCCTCCTGCTTCTTCAAACAGGTAAGGCGGCCACAGAACACTACGGTGGATGTGATAGGGCTAGAGGGCATAAGAATAACTGGAAATACTGTTGAAGACACAGGAAATACCCAGGTGTTTTAAGGCAGGAGTAGATAGGAACTTATGGGACCTGGCACACACTGTGATAAAGGACACAACCAATAGGGAAGAAGGAACCACAGCCATCAGTTATCGCTCACAGAAGAACCTGTTTTATTTCACTCATAACTACTCCTCCTCCCTTACAGTAGCACAGTGGACATTACTGTCCCATGTTAACACCAAGACAGGTTAGTACTATCAGCTCTTTCCAGGCAATAGCTGCTTACATCTGTATCACATCTCATTTGGAGAGGTGTTAGTAATTTTATTTACCCGCTTTTCAAAATGTGCATCTCCATTTTATTTTGGAAAGACAGTAACATCAGCAATAATATTTTGGAGAAACAACTGAATTCCCAAGTAACCTACACAGATATTTTTCTTGAACTGCCTATTTTATAACCTTGTATCATGTTGCTTCCTATGCTACGAATGGGCTTCAGTAAAGCAGCAGATTTTGAAGCATTAAGGGATCATTTCAATAACCAAATCCAACCTTTGGAGTGAAGCTGTTTTCTACTGTTAACATAACTTTGCAAAGCTGAAACTGAAGAGACAGCAGATAACTATAGCACAGGGACAGATAACTAATAAAAACTGTGAAGATAAAAATCAAGGACTTCCATACTTTAAACTGGGGCACTCAAGTATTACGATCAGAAGGAGGACAAGGCCTGCAACAAAAAAAACCTCAACAAAGGCACAGAAAAGACCTTACTTCTGTGAGTTACATCAAAAACATCCATGGCAGTTTTCTTTCCCAGTGGGTTTTCCACAGTCACTGTGATATTACAGAGCCTCTGCTGGCCTATATCCCAAGAACACGAGCACTGCTCAGAACAGCTTACTGTGCACGGTATCGTTTTTCGGGAAAACCTATCAAAGAAGGGGGAGAAAAGAGAGAAAGACATTTTTCCATAATGTACAATCGACATAGATGTTGAAATTTTTGATGCCCAACTAGAATACAGCATCATAAAAAGAAAGGATGAGGGGAACTATAAGAAGCCACCCAGTTCCTTCCCCTAGCCTGAAGTAGGATGAATATAGGTATTCTTACAATTAGAAGAAAGTTTTCTTCCAAGTCTAAGTTTACTTTATGCTTTTAAGATACAGCTAAGTTTACTTTATCCTTTTAGGATACAGCTAAATTGTTTTTAGTGATTTCCTCATGGAAATTCTAAACTAGGGACTTATTTGCCAGGAATTAAGCCATTCCCATGTCTACCATTATGCTTTTAAATGAAGCAGTAATTTCAAGTGCATCTTCTAACCTTCCATTTTTAAATCACCATCACAGTATCTTAATGGATGTGAATGATGCAGAGACCATTAAGGTATACACAACAATGACCTGCCTTCTGAGAGGTCTTTTGATGAAAATTGTTGTGGTGATGAGGCATCTGTCCTGTTTTATGAGTTTCCCCTTCTCTGCAGGCCCTGCTGTAAAGCCCCTCCCCTCTCATTTAGATGCCTCTGTAGCAAGAAGCCAATGGCCAGACCTGATACGCCACAGCTGTGTAACCTTGACTCAGACCGCTAAGAGCAAGCTATGAGAAAGTCTGCAGACAGATTTTACAAAAAAATACAAAAGCTGAAATTATAGGAATTATAGACCGAAGTAGGATTTTTGAGATAGGCTCATCAGTAGCTCAAGGACTCAAGAAGGAAAACACCAGCATGTGAAGTTATGAAATCCTAAAGAAAAAGAACTAGATTAGGCTAATCAGGCTAACTGAAGGTTAGCTGGGAATCATCAGTTTGAGTAAGCATTAGTGGCAATGGATTGTGAACACACTAATACTCAGCCTACCAGCTGATTAAATCCTAGTTATCTCTATGTGTGTTACCCAATAATTACATTATACTTTTAAGTTATCTATATCCTGATTGGAGGGTGTCTTCATAGTTACTGAAAGAGATCCAAACAAATTAACCCAAACTAATGGTTAGAACAAGCTTTATCAAGCAGAACCTGGTCTGATGGACCCGCTACTTTGTTATAGATATAGAGATATATATAGTCATTATATAGTATATATA